CCCCCCCCCCCCCCCCCCCAACTCCTGGAGGACAAGCAGCAATGACACTTGCAGCCCCTGCCCTTCAGGCTTGGGCTGCTGGCTGAGGCTGCCTAGGGATGCGTGGTCTCTGGCAGGCTCATGGCTGCTGCCTGTGTAGTGGATAGACATGAACTATAATTTGCAGAGGAATCAGGGCTGCTGCTCTGGGTACTTTAATTAGAGCTGCTTGCTGCTGTAAAGTGTCCAGAGACCATGCAACCCTGGGCCTGAGTCTGAAGATCAGGGGCTGTAAGTGGCACAAAACACTTTTGCTTGTGCTTTGGCCAGGGCAGAGGGGAAAGACCCTGCTGAACAGTGGAGGAGCGGGGCAGTTGTGAAGCGGCTGCCTCTGCCTTGACACCCCCCACCACAGGCTGTGGCCCTGGACACTGCCGGTTAAATCTTATTTGGTCTGACGGGACAGCTCCTCCCAGCCCTCTCCGCCCCAATTATGTCTGCTGCATGGGAATCTTTTGCAGTGCCCAACCCAGCTGCAGTCTGCACCGGACTCTGCTTTGCTCCAGCTCAGCCTGCCAGTGAGGGGATGGGAGTGTATCCAGGGTGACCCCAGCTTGTGGGAGGGAACCCAGGAGTTCTGGGCCCCGGCATAATTAGTTATCGGCCAACATTATTGGCTACTGCAACAAAAAAAAAAAGTCAATGAGCGATAATGTTGTTTTTCCTTTTATCAGTGCCGGTCCCATACCCAACCGATGTATTGGTGTACCTCTACTAAAAAGGGTTCAGAAGACTGATTTTTTTTTTTTTTCCTCTCTTCCTCCCCCACTCTTTTAAAAACAGCTTATTTTTTTTCTAGCTTTAAATCTTGGGAGCCATCATAACTGCTAAAGTAGGGTGTCCAAAATGTGGTCATTGGGAAAATTGCAGTTGTCTGTTTTGCTGTGGGGCATATCCCTCTCATTTAATATAGAAGTGTTACATGCATGGCCTCTTCTCTAGCTCTGTCACATTTATTTTTAAAAACCCATTTCCTTGACTTTCCTTTCTTAGAGAACTACACTGGATCTCTAGTTTTTCCTACATGTAAAGGTCTAAAACTTTTTAGTTGATTCATGAATCTTTTTGACATAAACATAACAAAAATGGGTGTTGAATTTTCCCAATTAGTGTCAGTCGCAAGTGCCTACAGAAACTTATGGTCACTGCTGTTAAAGATTATTTAATGCATCAGAAATTTTGCAGCGTTCAATTTTTGATATTGGGGTTGGTTCTGAAAACTTGATATTGAGGTTATACATCTCTATTTTTCTTTGTAATGAAGAAAAAAATCAAACTGAAAATGCTGAAGTGCTAACACTAATTTTTTTTCTTCTCTCAGTTCTTTCAACGGGCTGTTAAAGATGAATTGTGTCGTCAAAACAACTTGTACATTCAGCCATATGCTTGCTATGAACTTGGCTGTCTTCTGCTAGATGATCCAGAGGTAACAATAGAGTACATGTGAAACTTTTGGGATCGGGGATGGGACCATCAATGATTCTTTAGAGTGAAAATGTGGAGAATTCTAAAAAGGATTGGGTGTATATGTTAATTTTTTAACATTTTGTTTTTTATCTGCGTGTAAAGTCGTAAATGAGATGGGTACCATGCTATTGTCTAGGTGACAGTGTGAACATTTATAGATGCTGGCATACTACGTTTAGAAAGTTACACAATGATATTTAGCAGGGCTGGACATTCAAGTTAGTGACAACATTAGAATTACTTGATTCATTTTGCTTTTCACTTTTACATAATAAATATACATTTGAGGCTTTCTCAGATTTAATTTCCAGCCATCAGCTAATGACCTTATCTAGCAATCAGATAAACAGAGTCCTAACTCCCATCTTCCTGCTTATTTAAAAAAAAAATAAATAAAAAGGAAAATTTATACGAACAACAAATGGGAAGCAATAAATTTGACATGCATAAGATATGTATCAAAATACGTCTCTTCTTTAAGAATTGTCCACCTTTATCTTCCTGCCTTTGGGATAAGCACATTTCTGCTTCACTGCATTGAAAATGCAACAAACCTGGAACCCACTGAAGGTCCACATTGACTGGCTGTTAAGCTTTCCCTGATCAGATTGTGTTATCTTTCTTATTCTGCAGTAACCACATTTTTTAATTGAAAAGCTTGTTCCAGGTAGTTTTTGGATGCTGAACTCTTCTTGCAAACTTGAGATGGTCTTCAAGATCTGTAAGCTCTTTTAAACATTATTATTTCCTACACTGAACCACTGCAAATTGCTTCCCCAAACTGACAATATTAAATCCTTGGTCATTCTGGCTGCTTGCAGACATATTAAAAAAAACAAAAACCCAAACAAACAAAAACCCATGCTTTACTGGAAGCAGCAGCACATTACTTTGACCTGGTCCTGCAGCGTCTGTGTAGATCAGGTGCTTCAGTGGGGCCTCTTGGCACTTCTTTATCTCAAGCTGCTTCAATCAGCTATTAGATAAAAGTTAAAAAAGCCACACTAAAGCACCCCATCTATACAGATGTCAGGCGAGCCAGGTCCAATTAAGGTGCTGCCTCTTCTGGGCATGTGCTGGGCTCGGCACGGGAACACAGTTTAAAACACCACTTTTTTTAACATCTGCAAGCATCCTCTATTATTTATACAAAATAGTCGTCATGATGCTTACAGTGCCCAACACTTCTTACATAAGACCTCTGTATTCAGTTTCTTATGACTTAGCAGAACACTGACCATTTAAGTTATTTTTTTTTCCATTTGGGGTGATTGTCTTGATAGTTTTTTTGGATAATTTCAGCCAAAATTATTCCAGCACTTAGAGTCATGGAAAATTAGGGTAGGAAGGGACCTGTGGAGGTCATATACTGTAACCTCCTCCTCAAACTAGGACTGTCCCCATCTATATCATCCCAGCTAAGGCTTTGTCTAGTGGGGTCTTAATAACCTTCAAGGGTGGAGATTCCACAAACTCTCTGGGTAACCTATTCCAGTACTTCCCTACCTTCCTAGTGAGAGTTTTTCCTAGCATCTAACCTAAACTTCACTTGCTGCAGCCTGAGACCATTGCTCCTTGTTCTGTCATCTGCCACCACTGAGAACAGTTCAGCACCATCCTCTTTAGAACCAACCATCAGGTAGTTGAAGGCTGCTATTAAATCCCCTCAGTCTTCTCTTGTCCAGACTAAATAAGCCCAGTTTCCTCAGCCTCTCCTCAGAAGTCATGTGTCCCAGCCCTCTAACAATTTTTGTTGTCCTCTGCTGGACACTCTCCAATATCTCCACCTCCTTTCTGTAGTGGGGGGCCCAAAACTGAACATAGTACTCCTGAGGTGGCCTCACCAGTGTTAGAGGGGAAGAATCATTTCCCTTGATCTGCTGGGAATGCTCTTACTAATGCAACCCAGTATGTGGTTAGCCTTTGCAGTAAGGGCACACTTCCAGGGACAAAGCAAAGAAAAATTGTCTTGCTTTAAGGAAAAATTCTAGTAACTTTATCCTTGAAGGGCTTTCCCCCAGCCCCCATGCTTTGGAATAGGGGTGTGAAATATGGCAGAGGGCCTGCCATGGTTCCCAGGTTTTTTCTTTTGCCATCCCTGTGAATATTTACCCAGATTTGATCAAATTTACAGCCTCTAAAAAACTTTAGCTCTCACCTACTCAGAGGCTTGTTTAGAATTTGGCAGTTTAATTCTCTGAAGAGATTCTGTGCATCAAGCAGGCTGCCTTTGGCATCCTACAAAGTTATTAAGTGTGCTCCATTTCTGGGTTATAGTGGTAGAGGAGGACAGTCTCTGAAATTTTTCTGCTCATTCAAAAGCTAGTGTAGTGCATGATGCATACATTTAGAAAGCATTTTTTCTGATGTTCTTAATGTGTTCCAGACAACTTGGAGGGGAAAGGAAGGCCACCTGTTTTGAATTGTGGGGGTGAGGGGAAGGAATCAGGTTAGGAACCGGAAACAGGAAAGAGAAGAAGCAGAGATAACATGGGCAGGATCAGCAGACGGGTGGAGGAACTGGGAAGAGATGGGTAGAAAAACATGTTCAAGAACAGAATGTGGTTAGGAGGATAAGAGCAGGGGAGGGAACAGAGATGGGAGTCGAGTGGGGGAAAGTGGTCAATAGCAAGGAGGAAACAGGGGTTGAGGGGTTGAAGGAAACAGGCTAGAGGGTTGTTAGTACTTGAGCATCCTACCCTATAGAGCAGTGGTTCTCAATCTTTTTAGACTCAAGTCAGTCCTCTCTAACTTGTGTGAATTGAACAGCACCCCATTTTAAAAACAATTTATTTATTTTAGTGCTTACCTCCTTGCAGAAGGGCCAAGCATGGGGGCAGAGGACCAGCTAGGCAAGGAAAGCCTGAGCTTGCTTTTATCTGCTCATCTCCTCACACTTTCTGGAGCACCCTGACACTTGCTGGGTTCCTTGATGCCCTGGTTGGCAATCACTGCTCTAGACCCTGAAAGTTTGCGTTAGGTCTGTTTTTTAGCCATGTAGCAAATAGCCATGAAATCCACTGGCAAAACGTGTTTCCAGTTTCCACTTGTGGTAGATCTAAGTTTAAAGATAATCTTGCTTACTAATGGATGCTTTGTTTACTTTGGCATTGGAGGATTGTCCTAAAGATCCCATCCCTACTAGTAATGCATGTGTGGGTGGCCAGTATGATGCACCTTTTGTTTCTTCTGCCTAGGGTATTTAAATTAGGAAATTCCATAAATTAAAACTTCCAACATTTTAAAAGAACGCTAAAGTAAATTTAAGAAATATCAGTTAAGATGGCTCATGCAACCTTAAATGGACCCTTGTGTGTACATGTCATCTTATACAGTCTTTTCCATGGGACGCTTGTCATTCGTTGCCCAAGACTTGACTTCAAATTTGCAAAATCAAGCACTTCTCCTACTTTGGAGTATTTTATAAAGGTGTTTCAGGATAAGGGAAAGGAAGTTGAAGGTAGTTATAATGTTGAGGGGTAACCAGCATGGGTTCGTGCCAGGCCAATCCTGCCTGACTAACCTGTTCTGTTTCTATGACCAGGTAACAAAGAGCTTAGATGGGAAGGAGGGAGTCGATGTCATCTTCTTGGACTTCCAGAAGGCCTTCGGCACAGTGTCCCACCCAATTCTGGTGGGCAAGCTGAGGGACTGCGGCATTGACGAATGCACGGTCACATGGGTGGCTAACTGGCTCCAAGGGCGAAGCCAGAGGGTGGTGGTGGATGGGTCGATGTCAGCCTGGAAGGGTGTGGGCAGTGGAGTCCCCCAGGGCTCGGCCTTGGGCCGGTGCTGTTCAACATCTTCATTAGCGACCTGGACGAGGGTGTGGAGAACACCCTGTTCAAGTTTGCTGATGACATCAAGCTGTGGGGTAAAGTGAATGCACTGGCAGGCAGGGACCACATCCAGGCAGACCTGGATAGGTTAGAGAGGTGGGTGGATCTGAACAGGATGCGGTTCAACAAGGACAAGTGCAGGGTGCTGCACCTGGGGAGAGGGAACCAGCATTATGGTTATAGGTTAGGGGCTGACCCTCTCAGCAGCACAGAGGCAGAGAGGGATCTTGGAGTCAGGATTGACTCCAGGATGAATATGAGTCGCCAATGCGATGAAGCAATAGGTAGAGCCAACCGCACCCTGTC